AAAGGTGCTCAACATCACTCATCATCAGGGAAATGCAAATCAAAACTACAATGAGGGGCGCCTGGGTGGCTCAGTCGTTAAGTGTCTGCCTTCAGCTCAGGTCATGATCACAGGGTCCTGGGATCGAGCCCCGCATCGGGCTCCCTGCTCCGCAGGAGGCCTGCTTCTCCCTCTCCCACTCCCCCTGCTTGTGTTCCCTCTCTCGCTGTGTCTCTCTCTATCAAATAAATAAATAAAATCTTTAAAAAAAAAAACTACAATGAGATATCACCTCACACCTGTCAGAATGGCTAAAATCAAAAACACAAGAAACAACAAATGTTGGTGACAATGTGGAGAAAAAGGAACCCTTGTGCACTGTTCCTTTTTCAGTGGAATGCAAACTGGTGAAGCCATGTGGAAAACGGTATGGAGGTTCCTCAAAAAAGTTAAAAACAGAACTACTCTATGATCCAGCAATCACACTACTGGGTATTTACCCAAAGAATATAAAATACTAATTCAAAGGGATACATGCACCCCGATGTTTATAGCAGCATTATTTACAATAGCCATATTGTGGAAACAGCCCAAGTGTCCATTGACTGATAAATGGTTAAAGAAGACACAAAGACACACAGACACACAGACACACACACACACACACACACACACAGAGGAATATTATTCAGCCATAAAAAAGAATGGAATCTTGCCATTTGCAACAACATGAGTGCAGCTAGAGAGTGTTATGCGGAGTGAAATAAGTCAGGGAAAGACAAATACCACATGTGCAGAATTTTAAAAACAAAACAAATGAGCAAAGGAAAAAGAGGAGATAGAAAGAAACAAGCCAAGAAACAGACTCTTAACTATAGAGAACCAATTAATGGTTACCAGAGGGGAGGTAGGTGTGGGGGATGGATGAAATAGGTGATGGGGATTAAGGAGTGCACTTGTCATGATAAGTACCGGGTGATATATCAAAGTGCTGAATCACCTGAAACTAACACTGTATGTCAACTACATTGGAATTAAGAATGAGTAGAGTAGAGCAGAGTAGGAGAGGAGAGGAGAAGAGAGAATAGAAATAGAATAGAGTAGAGCAGAGTAGGAGAGGAGAGGAGAAGAAAGAATAGAAATTAAGAGAAGAGAAGAGAAGAGAAGAGAAGAGAAGAGAAGAGAAGAGAAGAGAAGAGAAGAGAAGAGAAGAGAAGAGAAGAGAAGAGAATAAACATTTGTTGCCTGCATTATCTTCCCATCAAACAGTGCTGGGTGAGGGTGTTTCAGCTCAGGCCACAAGTCAGCTACAACACAGCGACCTTCACACACCGCCTCTCTATCTTGGGTTTTTTCATTTGTAAGATGTCAAGAGCTTGGACCAGATGCTTTTAGAACCCCTATGGCTCTAACATTCTAGGATTCAAGGATTCAACAGTGATTGCTGGTGGAGAAAAGACACCAGAGCCAGTTGATGACAGTGCTAATAAGGAGTTAGTCAACACTAAACAGTTAGTGTATCGAAGAGGCAGGGCAGCCTTTGCTAGAGCTGGGCTCTGGACAGGGTGCCTAAGAGAAGTTCAAGGGGTCCCTTACAGCCACCCCACAGCTTGGGGGTCCCAGGGCAGGAGACAGTGCTGTTCTGCCCTTGCTGCAGAGCCAGCCAGCCGCTGACGTGAGCACCTGAGAAAAGCCCTGCTCTGCTGAGGCGCTGGCTCCAGGCTCAGCACACGGGCTACTCATCACAGAGGAGCTGGTCTGCAGGCCCGGCAGCGCAGCAGATGCGGGGCATGCTGTCGGCTTAAGCCCAGGTTGCGGGGGACAGAAACGTGGCCCGGCTGCCAACAGGTTCCAGCAGACTGACCTCACTTGTGTGCCACCCAGCTGTGGGAGCCCAAGAAGCAGGAAAAGCCCACCCTGCGATTCATAATGTGTTAGTAAGACTTAATCCAAATTCTAGCAGACCTGGATTTTGTGGTTTATCAGACTCCTAAAAGAAGTATTTTTTAAAAGGGGCACCTGGGTGGCTCAGTTGGTTAAGCGACTGCCTTCGGCTCAGGTCATGATCCTGGAGTTCGGGATCGAGTCCCGCATCGGGCTCCCTGCTCGGCGGGGAGTCTGCTTCTCCCTCTGACCCTCCTCCCTCTCATGCTCTCTGTCTCTCACTCTCTCTCTCAAATAAATAAATAAAATCTTTAAAAAAAAAAAAAAGAAGTATTTTTTAAAAAGGAAAAAATGTATATGACTAGTAGTTTTTTTTTTTAATTTTTTAAAGATTTTATTTAATTATTTGAGAGAGCAAGAGCAGGGGGAGGAGCAGAGGGAGAAGCAGACTCCCCTACTGAACAAGGAGCCCGACTTGGGGCTCGATCCCAGGATCCTGAGATCGTGACTTGAGCCAAAGGCAGACGCTTTAATGACTGAGCCACCCAGGAGCCCCGGAAGTTTGCACTTCTTGATCCCATTCATCTATTTCACTCATCCACCTGCCCCCATCCCCTCTGGCAATTACCGGTTGTTCTCTGTTACTTATGAGTCTGTTTTTGGTTTGTTTTTTTCTATTTTTTTTTGGTTTCCACATATAAGTGAAACCATATGGCATCGGTCTTTCTCTGACTTATTTCATACCCTCTAGGTCCATCTATGCTGTCACAAATGACAAGATTTCATTCTTTCTTATGGCTGAGTAATATGCCGTGGTATATTTGTGTGTGTGTGTGTGTATGTGTATATATATATATACATATATATATTTGTGTGTGTGTGTGTGTATGTATATATATATATACATACACACACACACCCCCAACATCTTCTTTATCCATTCATCTATCGATGGACACCTGAGTTGTTTCCATATCTTGGCTATTGTAAATAATCCTGTAATCAACATAGGTATGCATGTATCTTTTCGAATTAGTGTTTTGGCATTTTTCGGGTAAATACCCAGTAGTGGAATTACCAGATCATATGGTAATCCTATTTTTAATTTTTTGAGGAATTTCCATACTGTTTTCCATAGTGGCTGCATGAATTGACATTCCCACCAACAGTGTGGGAAGATCCCCTTTTCTCCACATCCTTGCCAACACTTGTTATTTTTTGTCTTTTTAATACTAGCAATTCTGACTGGTGTGAGGTGTTATTGTGGTTCTGATTTGCATTTCCCTGATGATTAGTGATATTGAGCATCTTTCCTTGTGTCTGTTGGCCATCTGTATGTCTTCTTTGGAAAAACGTCTATTCAGGTCCTCTGTCCATTTTTTATTCAGAATTTTTTTTTTTTTTTTTTTTTGGTGTTGAGTTGTAGAAGTTCTTCATATATTTTGGATATTACCTCCTTATTGAATAAATAATTTGCAGATACATTCTCCCATTCATTAGGTTGCTTTTTTGTTTTGTTAATAGTTTCCTTTGCTGTGCAAAAGCTTTTTATTTTGGTGTAGCCTCGATAATTTATTTTTGCTTTTGTTTTCCCTTGTCTAAGGAGACATATCCATAAATATATCATTAAGGCTATTCGATGTCCAAGAGATTACTGCCTATGTTTTCTTTTAGGAGTTTCATAGTTTCAGATCTCACATTTATGTCTTTAATCCATTTTGAGTTTATTTTTGTGTATGATCTAAGAAAGTGGTCCAGTTTCATTCTTTTACATGTAGCTGTCTAGTTTTCCTAACACCATTAATTGAAAAGACTGTCTCTTCCCCATTGTATATTCTTGCCTCCTTTGTCATAGATGAACTGACCATTTAAGCATGGGTTTACTTCTGGACACTCTATCCTATTCCACTGATCTGCGTGTCTGTTTCTGTGCCAGTACCATACTGTTTTTTTTTTTTTAAAGATTTTATTTATTTATTTGAGAGAGAGAATGAGAGACAGAGAGCACGAGAGGGAAGCGGGTCAGAGGGAGAAGCAGACCCCCCGCTGAGCAGGGAGCCCGATGCGGGACTCGATCCCGATGCGGGACTCGATCCCGGGACTCCAGGATCATGACCTGAGCCGAAAGCAGTCGCTTAACCAACTGAGCCACCCAGGCGCCCCCCATACTGTTTTGATTACCAAGCGTTGTCATGTATCTCGAAATCTGGGATTATGATACCTCTGGTTTTGTTCTTCTTTCTCAAGATTACTTAGCTATTTGAGAAGACCCCTGCATCTTTACAACCAATTCCAATTTTGGTGTGAGCTCATTGGAATGGGTTTCAGATACCACTATCACGTAAGTCCTGAAGAAGACACTCTTTCTTGACCTTTAATGCCTTTATACAGCAATAATGCATTTCTGTACTAAACCAAAGCTGATACAAATATGACATGGGTGCTGTCACTTTCCCAGCCAACTCCCCATGCAGACGTGATGAAGGGGTCACAGCACTCCCTATCTGGGCCTCACAAGTCATCACCATACTGTTCCACGTGGCCCCAAAGAAATTAACTGGAGTTGGCACACAAGAAAACAGTTATTGGCCATCGATGTTCTAGACTCAGGTGCACACTTACAAACCCATATCCACCCATCCATAGGGTTTGCTTTTTGTTTTTTTTGTTTTTTTTTTTCTTTGTCTCTGGGGATTTGGTCACATTTTAGAGTTCATCAATTTGGGGCAATGGTTACTAAAACCCTTACAGAATCAGAGCACTCTGTTCTTTCTGAATTAATTATTTATATTCATGAAGTCTGGCCTACTTATTTGTACATTACTCTGCCAGTTTATCCGTAATTTGTCACAAATTTATATGCAATCTGAAAAAAAAAATGATCTCACTACCACAGGATAACCTGCAAACTTCAGGAACTGTAAATCCTGCGAACTTCAGGAAGTGTAAACTACCGGAAACCTGTCAATTGCAGGAACTGTGTCTGCCAGGGCAAAGCCAAGAGTGTTCTTCCCCCCACTTAATGTCTTTATCACACAGCCTCCCTGTCCAACTGCAGCAAAAAGTCTTTCTGACTACCTTGATAGACTAGGACTAGTAAACAAACAAAAAGGGCATCTTAAAAATCAGTAACATACCAACTCCATCAACTGTTTGAGCTGACCTATCTCTTCTGGCAGCGATCCAAGTTTGTTGTTACTTGCGATTAAGACTTTGAGAGGCAGACCACACAGGCAGGCAGGCAGGGCAGACAGCTGATTTCGACTGCAAAGACAATACCAGAACACAGGTGAACATACAACCTCATGCTGTTGCTGAATGGCTTGTGAGTCAGCAAGAAGAAAGGAGCAATCCGAGAAGACATTTTACAAATATAAAAGGTCCAGTAAAGTTTCTGCATTTGTCATAAATCCCAAGTACAGAAGATAATAAAATATATTTCTGAGAAAGGCAGAGGCCCCTGGGTGGCTCAGGCGCTTGGGTGTCTGACTCTTGATTTCGGCTCAGGTCCTGATCTCAGGGTCCTGGAATGGAGCTCAGCAGGGAGTCTGCTTCTCTTTCTCCCTCTCCCTCTGCCCCTCCCCTGACTCTGGCACGTGCTCTAAATAAATAAATAAATAAATAAATAAATAAATAAATAAATAAATAAAATCTATATTAAAAAAAAAAGAAAGAAAGGCATAGGCAGTTCCGTGGGAAACAACTTTTTCCAGCACAAGGAACGCCATCAAACCCCTGCAGAAGCTGAGTCCTTGGCCAGCCAGGAGGCAGATGGGCATCGTGCCCTGTGCCACCAACAGCAACAGGAAGCTGGTGCCAACTCTTCTCTTCCTGACAATGTGAGCAGGAAGCTCAGCAAGGTCCAAGCACCATGAAGGCATCCTCCCGTCCATGTGAGTAGTGATGGGGAAGATCATTTTCCTGCAACTTATAAAAGCCCTCCAGCCTGATTTCCAACATTTTGATTCTGCTTCCTTTTGCTAACACAAGAGCCACTGTGGTTAAGGTCATTTTGGGTGTCTGCAAGGGAGCTAATTAAAAGAAGAAAAAAGCTGGGATGCCTGGGTGGCTCAGTCAGTTAAGCATCTGCCTTTGGCTCAGGTCATGATCCCAGGGTCCTGGGATTGAGCCCCGCATGGGGCTCCCTGCGCAGCAGGGAGTTCCCTCTCCATCTGCCCCTCCCTCAGCTCATGCTCTCTCTCGCTCTCTCTCAAATAAATAAATAAATAAAATCTTAAAAAAAAATAAAAGAAAAAAGTAAAGTTGGCCTTCTGGCAAAAGTGAAGCTGGAGCTCCGAAGGGTTCAGTTTCACAGAGTACCCAGAAAACTGCTCACATTCAGATTCACAGAGGACCCAAAAGTCTGCATCCAGGTCTCACTTCTGCTTTGCATGAAGAGGTTTTCTACTAAGAAGTGTCTGAACTTCCTATCATCAATGCTTAGTTTTTCTGAGAAATGGGAAAATAATGGATAATGAACCATGTTATGTATGTTAGCCATTTATTTCAAACTCCTCTCCCACAAAAAGCCCTTTCCCTGCCATCAAGTAAGGAGATAGATGGTTTTCAGTTTCCCTGCCTTTCTTTCCCCACCATTCTGCTGATGAAGCCAATGACCAGGCTGTGAAATATCTAAAAATCTATTTGTCAACTATTTAGAACTTCTTTTGTGTATGTGCACACATGTACGAAGCTTCCAAGGTTGTGGTACAGTGTGCATGTATTTATGGGCACACATAAATCAGTGTGTGTGAGAGGAAGGGACAGACAGCCTGAAAACACACCAAAATGTTATCAGTAGTCCTTTGAGGGGGATTAGGTACAATGAATGTCTTTTTATTTTCTTCCTTACACTTCGCTGAATTTTCCAAAATTCCTACAATGTGCTTTTATAATTAAGAAATAAATATCACGGGGCGCCTGGGTGGCTCAGTCCGTTAAATGTCCAACTCTTGGTTTCAGCTCAGGTCACGATCTCAGGTTTGTGGGATGGAGCCCTGCACGGGGCTCAGCGCTCAGCGGGGAGTCTGCTTCTCTTCCTCTGCACCCCCTACTTGCGTGCTTTCTCATGCGCTCTCTCTCGCTCGCTCTCTCTAAAATAAATAAATAAATCTTAAAAAAAGAAATAAATAACAGTATAAAAAGATAAACTTCATCTGCATACTGGTTACATGGGTGTTTCTATTTATGAAAATTCACTGAGATGTATAATTATGAGCTGCGTACTTTTCTGTATGTATTATATTTCAGTTAAAGGTTTTACTCCCCTACTTCCCCATATGAGGAGGTGGGAATCATATGGCTAAATAAAGGGCATCTCTAACTGATGGGCTGAGAAAGAACAGGTGTTATGCTCTGGAAAGAACCTTTCTAGGGGCTCCTGAGTGGCTCAGTTGGTTAAGCGTCTGCCTTTGGCTCAGGTCATGATCCCAGGGTCCTGGGATCAAGCCTCTTGCTCAGTGGGGAGTCTGCTTTTCCCTCTCCCTCTGCCCCTCCCCCCTCACTCATGCTCTCTCCCTCTCTCAAATAAATAATAAAATCTTTAAAAAAAAAAGAACCTTTCTAATGTGGGTGCTCCCCTGTAACTACCCTGATAGCTCTTCTGCTCCAGGTACCCAATGCCTGGGTAATAGGGTTTTAGCAAGAAAAGATACAGTCAACCTTCCCTCCATTGCCCAGATCTGCAAAGAAAGCTATTTCCAGAAAGGAGCAGGAAAGAGAGGTTTCTCTAAGAGGGTCCAGCAGAGGGAGGGAGGAGACTGAAAGCCCTATGGGGGCAGAGGGGGTCCCTGGCACTGGAAGGACCAGCTGGCTCTTCATGTCCCCCTCGTTAGAGTAAGAGGTGAGAATAAGGGTGATGGGCATGCCCTGGCACTTTCTCCTGTCTCTGAGGGCAGTGGAAGGGGAATGAGGGCTACCAGCCTATCTTCCAGCCTCTGATATCCACCCACAGGAGCCCCGTGGGGCTATTCTGACTGGTTGACAGGGACTTTCTGGTGCTCTGATGAGAGAGCTTTCTCCAAGCTCCATAAAAAGCTCCTTAGACACTATCTCCGGAAAAGAGAATGAAGTTTACTAAAAGGTGGCAAGTAAATAACTTGGAATGTAATTTGTGGTTATAAAATATTTATTAATATGTAATTTCGTAAAGTGAGGATTGGTTACTTAAAATGTTAATAAGGCAAATTTTTTTTTTTTATTTTGAAGCCATATTTAAACTTCCTTTTGAAGAGAAAATTAGGAAACAAAGATTAGTATTTTCAAAAATTTCTACATTCCTGTTTTCATAGAATTAACAGTTCCAGTTGAAGATTCTTCCTGTGTTTCTTTGCTTGGAGACTCAGATTTAAACTATTCCCAGTCTCACCGTAATGCAGGCGTCTCATCAGATTAACAGATATTGAACCAAGAGAGCACTTATCACACCATTTAAGCAACACAATGAAGGCTCTGCTCATTCAGAAGCACAGTATTAGATTACATGGGATTATGCTCATGGGAATTCTAGGACAGGTACTAATTTAAAATAAAATTTAAACAGTTAGTATTAATTTTAAACTTAAGCATAATTAAATGTAAGCACGATTTCTTTGATGGGGGTACAAGCTTTTTATGCTAAAATTGCTGATGGAATAGCCTGTTTCTGTATGCCCCACGACATACTGTGGTTAGTCACCTGTAGATAAATCCAGATGCCAGAACTTTAGTTATAATTCAGCATGCTACAGATCTGGGTCACATTTCTTCAGTTTCATTGATCTAGTCTCTCGGGCTCGACTTCATATATTTTATCACAGGATGTTCCTGTATGACTTGTAATTTCCCCAATAGAAAAAGGAAATACACATGCACACAAAAACCCATTAGCTATCCAGCAAATATTTATAAAGAACAGGAGAAACTCCATTCCCTTTAATCCTCTACCCACTAAAGACAACATGGGCAGCCTGAGTTTTTTGAAACACTCATCTGGTAGCAATTTTTCTCAAGCAAATAAGTGCCTCAGGCCGCAAACAACTATCTTGCTCCCCACTTGTCTCCTGCTGGCCTCTGTGCTAAAAACGGGCCCTCTGCAGAAAGAGTGTTTAAAATAAGGCTGTATAGTGTCTGATAAGGTAAGGGCCAACATTTATTTTCAAATCTACCCAGGAAGATCCATCTGAAAGCAAAATTAAAAAAAAAAAAATTTTTAACTCACTCATTACAAAAGATTAAATTAGTCGGGGGGAAAAGGGCCACTCATTCAGAAGCAGAAATTACAGATCTGGTCATGGCAGCCTGAGCCTTCCTGCCCAGCATCTCTTGTCACTCTCCCTGCCCAGTCTGGGTGGAGGCTGATGGCACAGGGAGGGAGGAGGAGGGACGGGAAGGCCTTAGGTTTTTACCGGGCCGTGTTTATTGCTAATGCTTTCTCTTCCATCGTTCTCAACTGAATGATTCCCTACTAGATTTACTGGTCTATCTCCTCATGTCAAGATGAAACAAGACAGCTCAACATAATTTGAACACTTTTGATAGCTTTAGTTTACAGGATAAATTTCTCTTGGCTTCAAGTACCCACTACCCCTCACTTAATCTAATCCCTCAATTAAGGAATTTGCAAACCAAGTCACTTCCGTATGCTTTCACTGTTAGAGAGTCTTAATTTAATGTGTTTTGACGATGGCATTTGTTAATATCCATGTTTTCAGACTTAATGGTGGTATTTAACATTATTTGTTATTGGTTTTATCAGAAAGTTATCTTCCCTAAAGTATGTGATGATAAAAAAAAATTACTATAGGGGCGCCTGGGTGGCTCAGTCGTTAAGCGTCTGCCTTTGGCTCAGGTCATGATCCCAGGGTCCTGGGATCGAGTCCCGCATCGGGTTCCCTGCTCAGCGGGAAGCCTGCTTCTCCCTCTCCCACTCCCCCTGCTTGTGTTCCTGCTCTCGCTCTCTCTCTGTCAAATAAATAAATAAAATCTTTAAAAAAATAAAAAAAAAATTACTATATTCTTAGATGTGATTTTATTATCAGGGTATCATATTTTTTTTTGTTGTTCTACTGGAATAGTGAATGGGTTCTTTTTAGTGTATGGGTTCACGTAATAATTGAGGGTAGAACTCAGCAGAAAATTAATTTATAGGAAGACTTCTATAACATAGTCACCTATTCAGCTAGTGAAAAGGTCACCAACTGCGGACTTAGAAGGCCTGGTTTCAAATCTTGTCTCTGCCACAAACATTTAGTTTAGGTTTTGTTGTCCTTAAAACATACATAATA